TTGAAACTTACTTTAGATTTTCAGATTTAGCTTTGTGGAACTCGTTTTAGTCGATTTTGGTGATTTTTGGTTTAAATTATGTTTTTAAATGGAATCCGAATGGGATTTGGTGAAACCTTGATGAAAATTGGGGGTTTTTGATTCTTTGGACCCCATTTGTTGATTTGAAACTGGATCTATACACTTCCCTTGAGAATATGTCGAAATCGGACCCAAAATTTCAGGTTTTGGCTTTGTTTCTTGCGAATCGGCCATTGTTGGCCCTGAAATTTTTCCCCACCAGTTGACCGGTCCGGTCGACCGGTCACCCTTCCTTAGGTCGACCGATCTGGTCGACCGGTCACCTTTCCACCGGCTGACCGGTGGAGTTACACTCCTCTGTCACCGGTCGACCGGTTCCCACTGAAACCGACCCTAAACAGCCCAGAAAACCCTGTTTTGACCGCGAAACTCGATGTGGGATTGACCTAACCTCATCTGAGAACTCAAAATGAGTGGATTAGCCACATGAATCCTTGTTTTCCATTTGATTCTCCAGAATGAATCTCCATTTACAAAGAATCATGATTTGAATTAAGAATTGTTTATGAACATTGATTTTGAACTATGGCACACTAATATGATACAATTGCATCTAATTAAACGAGAATGTTTGATGAGAAAGGTCAAACTCTAAATTATTGATTTTGATGGGAAAGATAGTGGCACGATTGGAATTAGAGCCTCGAAGGCAAGTGGAGCTAGGGCTACGTGAAGACAGCCACAGGTTTGATATCCAACAGGTAGGATATTCTTGTCCATATCCTTGTTAGCCTCATTTTAAATTATTTTGGCCAATGAAAATGTTTTAGAATAAAACATGTTTAAAGTAAATGATTTTAAAAGAAATAGCATGTGAATGCTATTAGGTTTTCCAATGATTTTGGAAATGAGATTTTAAAGAGTATCATTTCTTAAAATGAATTATTTAAGGAATGATACAACGCATGGTGGCCACAGAGATCGGGATGTGAGAATTGCATCCTTGGGGGCAGGTCCCGAAACCCGTACGGATCCGCTTTTTATTTAGTGGAATTATGGCTCTGCACTTTTCATTTGACAGACATTTTTACCGCTTCTTGTTTAGTGGTATGATGAGCTGCACACTTTCATTATACATACATATTCTATTATGGGAGTATTTCCCTTTTTTTCAAAAAAAAAAAGATGATCGGTTCCGGGTGTATATCTTCGGACCGTGAGTACCTTTATTTTAAATGCTTTATAAAATTATATCCTACTGGGCCTTTCGTTCACATTTTCCTGTTTTTAAATGTATTAAACCCTTCCAGGCGACGCGAGGAGTAGTGCGGAGTAGGTAGCTACTACTGGTGACGTGGACTTGTTTCAGGAAAGCAAAGAGTTGTATTTTCTCTTATCTTTTATTTCAAGGCATGTATAAGAGATTATGGATTGTAAACTTAAATATTACTAGACTGTGGTTGATGTCATATTTACTTTTGTTTATGTTCATGTATGCTAAACCCCTGTGGGAATTCCTGACATGATACCAGTGATGGGGTTTTAAACTGGTTTGGTTGGAAATTTAACCACCGTTCTTCAAATTAAATTTCTCTTGAATGCAGGGGCTCGTTTGGAAATACCTGGATGTTTTGAATTTGAAAAGAATTAAATTATTTTGCTAATCACTCTCTCAAACAGGTTTAAGTTTCTAAACGAGCCTCCACGTCACCAACCCCGGTTTAGAGGCGTGACAAAAACACTGAAAAAATGTTACATTTAACTTTTTCTGTTACAATAAAAAACTCTTAAAAAATGTCACATTTTAACTCAAATTAAAAACTTAAATCTGTAAAATAAACGATGCGTTAGAGACGAATTTGTCAAAATTAAAAAAATAAAGACTCACTAAGAATTTTAAGATTAACAGTGTCAATTACTCTTCTTTCAATGCTAGATATTCTTCTTCTCCGTACCTTCTATTTTTGTTCCTTATTGGCTATTTAAAAGGGAAAAACGAAGAAGAAGCAAAATTGTGCACAAGGAGCCCATATTTGTGAGTCCACTTATCAGCCTTATTATTATTTTTTTTTTCATTTTTTAAAATATAAATGCTATCACCGTTTCTCAACATTCATTGTTATGAAGACTCCATTAACTACGCATCAAATTTTGGCCGTCCATGTTCTACTTCAACTCATTTCACAAGTGTAGAGAGGGAGAGTGAGAGATTTTGAGTGAGTGAGAGAGAAAGAGAATTTGTGAAAATAAAATTAAAAAAAATGTGATTGATTTTTATTGAGAAATTTTTTTTTGTAGACTAAGAAAAATAACCTAGAGAAGTAGCATAATATAAAAGATACGAATAATGATAGGAACACCAACTCAAATTTTAATTTTTATGTATTAATAAACGTGACATGTGAGTTGTCATTTTTACATTAGTAGGTGTTTAAAATATTATCACGTGAATTAATAAAAAATTACATCTACTAATAAAAAATTGACAACTCACATGCTATATAAGTTAGTACATAAAAATTAGAATTTGAGTTGTTCTAAACATTACTCAAAAGATAATCTACAAGATACGTAAAATATTCGGTAAATTACGAAAAGTAACCTACCAAGATATGAAAATAATCTAGAAAACATGAAATGCTAACTTATAGGATATAAAAAGATAACCCATGAGATATGAAAAATAACTAGCATGATATTAGTGGCATAAGATAATTTTAAAACAATGATAAAAAATAAAATAATGTTAGGCTTTGAATGGCTTTTTTGAAAAATTCCTTGTTTATATTGTAAAATAAATTTAATTTTTTTATTAAAAAAAAACCTCAGCGAGGAAAATTTATTAAAAGTGAAAAAAAAATCAAAACAGAATTTATTAAAAGTGAAAAAAAACACATCAAAACAGAGAGGTTAAGGGCTCGTTTAGTTCGTTGATTCGAGTTTTAATTCGAGTTGAGATGTGACTTTTATGTGAGAGCTTTTTACTGTAGTAAAAAAGTTAGATGAAACTGTTTTTGAGAGCTTTTTACTGTAATAAAACTCAAATTTTAAACTCAAATCCGTGAAATGAATGAAGCCTAATTCTTATACAGAGATCTATAAAGAATCTCATTCAATTTATGAGATTGCGGCTCAATACTTTTTCCAATTCACTCCAGTCAGACAATTAATGAGATATACATCAATAATGCAGATACCTTGAAGTGCTTAATGAGATCGCCGCTCAATACTTTTTAGGCTTAAGTGTTTTGTTTTTCTTTTCCTTCTTGTATTCTTAGGACCCGTTCATTTCATTGATTCGAGTTTAGAATTTGAGTTTGCTATAGTAAAAAGCTCTCATAAATAATCACATCTAACTTTTTTACTACAGTAAAAAGTTTTCACATAAAGTCACATCTCAATTTGAATTAAAAATTCGAATCAACGAACTAAACGAACTCTTAAACTTTCATTTTTTTTAAGTTTGTAACTAAAAATACGACCGCAAGCGTAACAAGATTGAAGCTGCTAGAATCAGAGTTAATACTCCTCTAATTGCCAGTTTTCTTTGGGACTTATTGATGGGAAAACTAATCGCCTTTCTGCTGAATTCTTGATGAAAGATGACCAGACAGGTTGAGCTAATGCCAGTTTTTAGAATGTCGTATATGCATGCGCGGAGAGGTTTTGCTGGCTTGAGCATGTTTCCCTTGTAAGTCATGGCTCATGGAAAATGATTTTACTATTGCTTCATTGGAAATTTTTCTTTGAAAATCTGATATGGGGTTTGAATTGAATTATTGGAAATCAGATGGGCACGTCAAGGGCAAGATTTCTAGGTGTAAAATATGCACCGCCATGAAGATTATTGAACTGATTATCTATCTATGCACGAAAATATTCCAAAGAAGAGAATGAGAAACTGTGTAGAAGCGTGTGAGATTTTTTATGGTGGAATCCCAATGAGTGTTCTAACACTGTTTTTTTAACCGTTGAATTAATTTTTTAACGATGAGATATGCGTATGTCCGTATTAAAAATTTACAACACGCCGTACATAACTGCTCTTACTACATATCTGACCGTTAAAAAAGTAATCTAACAGTAAAAAAACAGTGCTCCACCAATGGAGCACTTATTGGGCTCCTCCATAAAAAAAATCCCTTCTTTTATGGTGGATAGATAGCAAGTTTTTATTTTGCAAACACTCATTATTTAAGACAGGTCATTGTCTTTAATAGTGGTTGTTTGCCGAGACATGAACAATGGGAATTATGGTGGTATGATCTCTAATATCAGATAATGGTCACAAATCAGTACAAAATATAATTCCGACAGATGGACTTTTAAGGTTATTATATAAAGTTGTTTGTAACTAAAACAGTACGCAGTGGTAGGCTTATGGCTTAAGCAAGTCATCAATAAAGTCATTCATTTAAATTAGTGCTCGATGCCTAACTCAACCCATCTCTCATTTGGCATGAATTATGCCTACGACTGTGGCAGGAACTTGTTAAGAGTATTAAAATTGTAATGATTAACGACATTGTCCTTTTTTAAAAAAAAAAAATTAAAAAAAGAAGCTGGGTTTAGCTTAGTGTGAAAGGAATCTCTAGAAGTCTTAAACTATTGCTCCTGATTTAGTTTAACCATTCAAATTCCACTCTCAAGTTAAACATCAGAAATTGCATATAAATATAAATATAAAACTACGGACAAACTTTGGTAATTTTTCGATTTGAATTGAGATATGATTATTTTAAATCGATAAACGATGTCAAATAAAGTGCAAGATTGGGCCTTTAAAGGATTCAAAAGACACAGAAACCAACAACCCCCATAGTGATAAAATACAACTGATAAATATTTGTTTGAGATGGAAATTCAACTTAGAAAGAGGACAAGTACAACCAAATCCAATTATCCATCATAGAAAACTGGAAACTGTTATTCACTAATTTATATCGTCAGAGGAAAAACTGCTACAAGTAACAAACGAATAAAGCTTATTTTTCATTTTTTTTTTATTCATCTCTTGTTTTGTTAATAGAATTGAAGGAAACCTAGGTCGGGGCACGTTTTCTAGTAACCGTGAAGTATAACTTGAGTCAATCCTATGATAAAGATTACAACCATTAATCTGAGGGAAGGGGTAGGTTCATCTTTTACAGGACCCCTTCAGTACAAATGAGTGTATAATCTTTCTAACAACAGAAGTAACTATAACAAGCCAATAATCAAAAGAATCACAATATAGAGCAGAAAAAATTACACAAATCATTAAAAGCACTAGAGAAAAGAAGTGCCTGCAAGGCCATGGTGCAAGAGATTATGCGCAATCGTATCCCTCGCCAATCTCGAGCTCTCGGACCTCAAAATGACATCCGGGACCATCTCATCGTCGAAAAGCTCAAACTCATGTTGGGGATCCATCTCCTCATTCTTCAACTCACAAATGTTGTGCAAAACACAGCAAGCCCCAAGGACCACAGGCAGGTCCTGGAGTTTGACCTCGGTTCGCCTCTGCAGGCAAGACCACCTCCCTTTAAGCCTGGCAAACGCATCTTTAGCAACCTTTTGAATCTCCCCAATCTTCTCATTAAACGCATGTTGAGTCCAAGTCAAATTCTGCTGCGTATAAGGCACCAAAACCCAATCCATTAGCGGATATCCTGAAGTCCCAACAATCCAAACCCCTTTCAAGAGACCCCCATTAGCCCTTTGGTAAAGGGCAGACTTCTCAAGCACCTGATCATCAGGCATTGAGCCAGGCCAACCAATGCACACATCGGTGAAAACTCCTCTAGGATCAACCACGCCTTGCACCGTTATCGAATACGACGTCTTCTGGTTCCTCTCCGTATGTCGTTTATTGAAATAAGCAGCCACACTAATCTTAGGAGCAATGATAGGAATATGAGTAGTGTACATAGACCCCACAACATTGGGAATCCCAGATACAGACTCAAATGCGTCCTTGATCTTCCTCAAAGCACTCTCCTCCGGCCACTGCAAGTATTTCGGCATTAGGACAGTCCTAATGGCCGAGCAAACCTCAAGGACCAACTTGTGGCACGTTGATATGCCTAATCCGAAGCGTTTCGACACAAGGCGAAGTGGGTCCCCCGTGGCCAATCTCCAAAGGCAAACGGCGACTCTCTGCCTAACCGGAATAGCGTTTCTTAGTGTCGTATCCTCTTTCGCTATGACAGAATTCAGCTCTTCGCATATCATGTCAAACGTGGATTTCCCCATCCTAAAGGCCTTCCTGAATTCCTCCTCCGGAAAATCCGGGCTGTTGCACTCGTCCCACCACGCATTCGACCGGTCCTTCACCCACAGTCTCCGCTGGTGGACTGCTGACGTGGCGGCGGAGGTGGAGGCCTTGTCGGACCCGTCCTCCGCCGAAATTACCGCCGCCGCCGCCGCAGCGGCGGAAACCGTCCTTGATTTTTTGCGCTTTGTGCGGCTGGATTCCTCGATTTCCGAGTTCAAATCCTGGAAATTGGCGTAGTAATCAAGCATGGTCTTGGTCTTCTTCTTGTGGATATCATCGAGGAGGGATTTCTCGTCGTTTGAGGCTCGGTCGAGCTCTTGGCTCTCGTGCTTTTCTTGTTCGTCGAGTAGTAATAGGGAAGTGATTATTCCCTTGAGGCTCTTCTTCTTGGCTTCCTTGTCCGAGGAATCGTCGTTTTCACCGTTTTCGTCGTCGTCGTCGTTTCTTCTTCGCTTGCCATTTTCGCTCATTTGGTGGAGCGCTGAGGTTTGGAGCAAGAGTCTGTAGATTTGGGAGAGGTCTTCGGGGTCTGGGGAAGAAGGGTATATGTGTTTCATATATGAGAAGGAAGGAAAAAAAAAACAGGAAAAGAAATAGAAGGAAAGAAAACGAGGAAAACGAAAAGCAGAGCCGACGATTGAGGAACAATAACTAGGAAAGAAGTTAACGCAAACTCGATATAGAGAGAGAGAGAGAGAGGGGAAAAGTATGGGTTTGGACTGTAGGAATTAGTACGGCGGATTATATGTGTGAAAGGGGAAGCAAAGGTGTGAACGGTATCTTAAAAGTAAGAGAAATCGGGGATGATTTTTGTGGTTTGTTTCCAATGTATGCGTGTATACTTTGCATTCTCGTACATTCATACAGTCGGGGGGACTTTTATAGTTTTACTGTGTATTAATGAAATTCTTTGCCTCATTATTGTCAATTTAGTTCCCCAAGTCAATCTAACCTTTAATAATGTAAATGCATTTCCAATTGCAATGTGCATTGATATTTTTCCTTTCTTTTTGGGTTTGCAATGTTAATGATTGAGATGGAAATTGGAATGAATATCAGGGATGGGATTTGTTTTTTTGATGCCTAAAAACGCAAAAAAAAAAAAAAAAAAGGCTAAAGGTGATAGAAAGAAAATATACTATTAGGGCAAATGTTTGAATCATTTTTGTCGATATCTTTTATGGAGATTCTTTAATACGTTGATATACCGACATGTTAAATTTTTTTAATCATTAAATTTAAATAAATTTTGATTTTTATGTTTTTGAATACAGATTTAAGAGAAAAAGAATTTAACTTACTCATGCATTAATATATCAGATAAGGTCCCTATTTTTTAGGGTAATACCGATACATATTAAAAGATCAAAAGTACACATGGCAAGGATGCAATGAGTCAACACCTTTTGAAAAAAATTGGTGGGGATACATGATGGATGATGGATGGCCGAGCCATTGTTTGACTTTTTGTGTGTGTTGTGTGTGTATTAAAATATGGAAGAAAAACCTGAAGGGCGCAAGTGTGAACGCGAATTGGGGGCGGTGTGATTTGAGAGGTTGGGCGGGTGCGTTGGTGGCGGTAGGTGTAAGACGCTGACTACGGGTTACGCGCTTTTGTGATTTGTGGGTTTTTTTTTTTTTTTTTAATAAGAATGATTTTTATTTTTGGGTCTTCGGTGGTCGTTTTATTCAATTTTGAGGCACCAATGAATCTTGTTATTTCTCGTGTCCTTTCGGAAGTTTGTCCAGCAAAGTTTTGGCAAGTACAAGAGACTGTATGTTGGGACCCACTGATTAATGGACCGGAACAATCTGCGGAACCAAGATTGGTGGATCACATCCCGACGGGAATTGGTCCCTGCAAACACCGGTGGGAAAAACTTGTAAGGACTTATTTTAGTTCAATAATTCAAATTGTGAAAGTTTAAATTTTTTTTATTAAAATTATAAAATCGAAACAGTAGTGATTTAAATTGTAATCTAAACTGTTATTGATATATAAATAAATTATAATTTAAATTAAGAATAAAATTTAAATTGCATTTGAATAAAGTGTTAAAAACTGTCATTAGAGTTTTATAATAAATTTTATAAAACATCATTATAAATTACATTAAAAAATACACAATATGTGTGAGAATTTATTCATCTCTTCATTATGAGCACATTAAAAAAAATCATCTCAATTGGAATAAAAACGAATAAGATATGACATTTTTAAGATTGAAATTAAAAAAAAAAGAAAAAGTAAAATATAAAGTTATTAGACTGTTGACGATAATTCAAATTGTTATAATTTAAAGGGAATGTGAATTCTAAAATCAACAATTTAAATTGCCTTTAAATCATTGTTAATGAATTAAATTGTTATTGAACTTTTCTCTCCCAAACACCAATTTGAATTTTGAATTAAGATTTTTGAGTGGTCGAAACAAACAGGAGCATACATTATTGGATTTTGTTGTATATAGTATTTTATTAGTAATATCTTTAGTGAAACAGCTTGCTTAGACTAGAGTTAAATTAATTCAATAATAGTAGAAGGTTTAGAATTGTGTGCTCGAAGCGTAAACAGTACTATTAATCTAACTATTCAATAAACTAAGGTATAATTGATCCAAATTACGAGAGTTGCTCATCAAGATCCCAAAAAAAAAAAAAAAAAAAAAAAAGAATGAGCTACCTACAAAAATGATTGATCTTTTACCACTTTGTGAGAAGGGGAAAAAATAGCCGACATAATAAGGGTTCCTAGATTTCTTTTAGATAGCGATTGGGGCTGCTGTATATGCAAAGATAAAAACGAAAACAATGTGTATTTGTCTTATTACCCTTTCTACATATCTTTCTTATTTTGTCAAAAACTTCCGTGATGTAGCATTAAATTTGTACTTAACGCCCTCGTCACATCATATGCTACTATCGCCATTTGGTTTACCAGAAAGTTAAGGAATTTAAAGCTTATCTATTAATACAAATTATACAATACTTCTCCTTTAGGTGCACGGTAGACATACGTGTATAGCGGACCCCACATCGATTTAAGAATTTCAACATTATACGCTACTTTTGACCGAATGCAAAGCAGGTTAACGGGTACCCAATGGAAACAAAAAAGCGTAAAGGTGGGAGACCTGGTAGAAAAAACCAAGAGATAGAGAATGTTCTTGGTCGGACTCGGTTGCAGTAAAATTAAACAAATTTAATTAATAATCAAGAAATGGACTTGTTTTTTTTTTTTTTTTTTTTTTTTTTTTTTTTTTTTTTTCCAAAGAGGCAAACTGACCTATAAGGTAGGCCTTGGTCTTCGCAAGCTTTCCAACTCTATATCAGACTGGCATAGTGGGGAGTTAAAAAAGAAAAATGGGTCAGATTCAAACATTTTATTCATTATTAGATCACAAGACAAGAGAACAACAAAAATGCATATGAATAGTGGGCAGATCATGAGCTGTATCTATGCGCAACACCAGAGTGGATAGTCTTAGATTTAACCCTATTCAACATCCACATTCTACGCTTTCAAAGTTTATAATTTATGCGCGTTAAAAGCGAAGCAATAAGCACAAACCTTTTTTTTTTTTGGCCCAAAAAATCAATAACGAATTGATTTGAGTTTTTAATTCGAATTAAGATGTGACTTTATGAGAAAAGTTTTTATTGTAGTAAAAAATTAAATATAGTTATTTCTGAGAACTTTTTACTGTAGCAAAACTCGAATCGGTAAAATAAACGGAACCTAAAATCACCTATTTGAGGCATTGAACACTACCAGAACAATGAAAAGTGCTAGTGCAAACACACGGTTTTGGGAAATGTATTCAATTCAAGTAAAAGGCAGCGTCGGTTATCTTTTTGCTAAAAGTCAACGCCGGTGATGCCGAATTAATGGAATCCATAACACAAGGTTCTTCAAGGAAACGCCAAAGAACTTTGGAGGCTTTGAAGCATATAACGAGGTCTTTGTGCTTCTACACCAAGAATTAGACTCCCCAGTCCTTTGAACTAATCAAATTTAACAAGGCGTTTTCCTCTTTCCAAAGCTAAAACACAGTTTGCCGTTTCTCTGCCAACTATATCTTGGTTCAACAGTTTGACGATTCAAAACTAAGGTGGTCGGAAGCCAAAAATCTATTATATTTGTTAAAAATACAATTTGGCTCCTCAAAAACATAACTAAACCTTAAGTCTGCATGTCTACAAATAAAAAGTCCTAACTTTTAATCCATTCAATTCCTATGAACTGAAAAATAGAAATCATAATACGAAATTAATTGGTCAGACATGACTTACATGAATAAAATGTGCATCACGACTTGTCTTATCATACCTAGTCAAACCCAAGTTTTAGAAATTTAGGACTTCCACTTATTTTGCATTAAACCAAATAGGCCTAATCAAATAAAGAATTCTAGGACACAATGATCTCTTAAACTGAGTTTTGCTGCAGAATAAAGTTTCGCGAAAGAATTGGACAAGTAATGGAGAGAGAGAGAGAGAGAGACAATAATGGTCACTTTCATGTTAATCGAGAAAAGAAAACAATCAAGTAACATCAAGTTTGGTGTAAACTTAAAAGATCAGAAATATAGATTAAGCAAATCTAAACAAGTCCAAACCTTTCAGAGGCACGGCTGCAGTTAATCATCTGTATGAACAACAAAAGTCCGTTTCCTAGATCCGCGAACATAAGATCAGAAAAGGGTCAGATTTCCTAATAATGCCTTAATAAGAAAACATAAATCATAATTATGTACAATTTTGAAAATGTAAAAGGGTCAAGTCATTTTAGAGAGAGCAGTACCAAAAGATAAGCAGCCATAATCACGCCTTTTGGCACTGTTTGAAACGATAAATTTAGTCCACTTTGAGAAGAAATGATGCCAAATATGCACCTCAAACTCCAATGCTTTGAAGGAATCTGGCTTATGATGATCTGCAAACCATTTTAGCAGACAAGACAAATTCGCATGCAATCAAGCTCCAGCACATCATTCCATTCAGTCATAAATATTCACAAGCCCGTAGAGTTTGAGAAGATGACATCAAGTAAGAGATCTTCCAGCCCATTCCCGTTCACGTCTCTTTTGCTTGGCTTGCATCCGATTAAACTTCTCCTTTCCTTTCTCTAAAAGAGGATCAACAAGGACATAGTCATTGGGGTCATCACTGCGAGACATGCGATCCTGCAAATAATTCAAAGTAAATTTCACGGCATTCTTGAGGAAAAATCTGGGATTTTGGATGACAAACGATCTGGGAAACTCTTTCATTGATCATCTTAGATATCCAGGCAGCATACCTTGCCAGGTTCAGGAACAAACTTCAAACGAACATTCTTCCAGTCAGACAAATCCTCCTTACTGCCTCCACTTCCAGATTCACTACTTGGAGCAGCTGGTTTTTCAAATAATTCCTTCTTGAACTTCTCAAGCTTTGCTAGAATCTAAAGGCAACAAAGCAAGCAACGGGGAGAAAAATGATAGCAAAAGGGGTTCTAGAGACACAACTAGCAAATAAAGCCACTGTGAGGCACCATTAGCCCATTACAACTAACATGTTAAGCAACGGGGAAAAAAATGATAGCAAAAGGGGTTCTAGAGACACAACTAGCAAAGAAAGCCACCGTGAGGCGCCATTAGCCCATCACAACTAACATGTTTAGGAGTCGAGATGCTAAAAAATGCAGTCCCATATTCCAATAATGGACTAACAGCTACTTAATTTCATAATTCATAATATTCATTGCATCATATGCACAAATATGTTAAAGAGAGAATGCATCAACCATATATATCCTCCACAATTTTTAATATTTCCCAATTCATTCAAATATCTGGAGAACACTTTCAACAGCATAATTTTTATAGTTCTCTTTTATATAATATTTCCGACTTCTATGCTCTCATTAACTGGAAGGCGGGCCTTGGCACCGTGGTGGGAGCGCTTGCGTTTGCACCCGGGATCCAAGGTTCGAATCCCGGAAACGGCCTCTCATTCGGGGGGTAAGGCCGTGTACATATGAGATTGAGCTTTCCCCCGAACCTGTCATAGTACGGGAGCCTCTTTGGCACTGGGGTCCGCCTTTTTTTTTTTTATGCTCTCATTAACTGCCTATTAGGGTAGTTTAACAGATAAAACACTATGTAATATGTCTTGGTCACAGAGACACAAAAGAAATCAGGTAAATATGAGAAGCAAACAAACGTGAATACCTCATCTTCACGCCATTGAAGTCTACGCTTCTTCTGTTTTTGCAGCTGTCTTCCTCTTTCGGCTTCATTCAACAGCTCCAAATCTACATTGGCATTGGCCATGCGTTCTGCTCTCGCTTCTGATCCTAGCCCTTTTTTATTCATTGACAACTTTCCTCTCTTAGGTTGATCATCACTGTCCCGTTTAGCATCCGACCTGGTAAGAAAATTTGTCAGCGTCATTAAGTTATGTCAGCTGATTCAATCTTACAAAGAAGATTCCAAAAATCTGGGAGACTCCTGCCTCCCCTCCCCCAAACAACCACCTTCGCAACTAATACATACTAAAGCTACAATAACAGAGTAAATCCTTCAGTCAGTCAGGCATGTAAAAAGAAACTATATACGCAAATGGTTTAGAAACCTCCAAACATATTTTTTAGGATGTTTCCTAAAGCTAACTTCCAAGATGACTATACAAAAATGACTGTATATTTGGCTTCAACAAACATCTGAAGAGACAAGGTTAATATTAATATAGGGAATGGAATAATGAACAAGGCATGAGTATAGTTGGAGAGATGTCTGTATCGGATATCATATGTTACCTTGATGGAGATACTTCACGCTTCTTTGAGTCAGAACCACCTGCATCATTACACATGTTTGTTTAGAAGTTGACCATGCTCTATTTCACTAAGTATACATTAAGACTCAAAGTATGCTGCTCGATTTCCTTGATATTAACAAACATAATTTTCAATCTGTCAAAATCTCCAAAGAACAGTTTAAGAAATCTCTGCATAAGCAATACAAACATTGACCCAAGTTGAGTTATTTCACACACATGCAAGTGCACACGAAGCAAAACAAGACTTCTTTACACCATATTTTCATTTACCTACGCAGGTGTCTGAGTCGGGGAGTGCAAAAACACGCAAGTGCAACCATTACCTTTATGATATTATTAAAAATTACTTAAAACAGAGATGTTTCAATAAGATGGTATATTCAAAATTTTTTGGAATTTACCATCTAAAATTTGGTGGCTAATTTACATACCTTTGCGCAATTTCGGCTTGGGTGGTAGATCTCCTAATTCGTTCCTTTTTCTAAGTATTTGCTGACGCATTCGCGCATCAAAGTCTGCCTCATCTTCATCATCATTGTCACTGTATATGTCAGCTTCTACACCTTTGTGAGACTCTTCTTTCTTCGAGCTAAGAGCTTCTCTAACAGATAACTGCACCTCCCTTATTTTGGTTTCAGAATTCTGCAATTAAAACCTTTGTCAAAGTTCAAACATGACCTTTGCTCGTTTACAGTACAACAGTGACAAAATATATGCATCTAAATTATGCAACATTAAGTTGCCAGGAAATTGACACCCAATCGTACCAAGCCAACACAGTTTCAACTTAAACATGCAACAACTGAAAACATAATCTTAAAAAGAAAAAAAAAATGGTTGGCTTAAGCAAGCTGATCGCGACAAGCTAAAAGAGTAGCAATACATTCATGATTTAACAACAATTGTATTCTCATAGTCAGGCATAATAACCATAGACAATGGGCAATTACCAATTCGCTGTTTGTAACTGCGTCCTTTAGAAGACGGGGATCGTCCAACACGTCATGACTGCTCTTGATTTTTTTCTTTACTGCCGCCAGTTCTTTCTCCTCTTCTTCCGCTTCTTCTCCAAAAGAAAGCAAGTTCAACTTTCTGCATTGTGCATACACACATAATAGACATCCTTGAAATCACTCACAAGTCACACAAACAAACAGAAATCCCAAATTGCAAGGAGAAAAATGCTTACTTAACAGCTTTTTTCTCCGTATCTTTATTGACGGTATCATCTGCTGAAGGGACCAACTGTCTTGCGGGTTGTCTTGGTACTATATCATCAAACGGATTCCACAAAATCTAGAAAAAGAGGTTTCCCGAGAATCCCAATAACGAAGATGCTAAATAAATTAAATAGAAACACATTGAAAGCGGAAAAAAAAAGAAAAAAAAAAGAAAATCGCAAGTTTCAACAACTAGTTATCTTTGATGTTTAGCACTATCCTCTCAAAGACTCAAATTTACCTCAACTGATAATATCCTTGGCGGTGGGTCGAGGGGACGATCATCCTTATCGGTTTCAAGATCGCCTAACCTTGTAAGATTATATATCGAATCTCCAGTAACCTGTGAAAAGAATAATCCAACAAAAATGACGAATAAACTTAAATGTCTTTTCCCGAAATTGAAAGAGACAAAAGCAAGCATGAGAATCACCTTCCCGAAAATAGTATGTTTTTTGTCGAGCCAATCACATCTATCCAAGGAAATGAAAAACTGGCTCCCATTGGAATTGGGCGAACCCGCATTCGCACAAGCGACCAAACCTCTATGCTTGAATCTCAGACGCGAATGAAACTCATCGGCAAAAACACCGCCATAAATACTCTCACCACCTGCAAAAGAAACCAAAAAAACCCTAGAATCAACGCACTAAACAAATTGCAAACCCTAACACACCACATTTATATATGTATATATATATATATATTTACGAATTTGCAAAAAGCAAAAAGAGTTGTGAGATGGAGATGGAGAGAGGAGGGACCCGTGCCGGTGCCGGTGGGGTCGCCGCTCTGGATGAGGAAGCCCTTGATGATGCGGTGGAAGATGGTACGGTCGTAGTAGCCCTCGAGGCAGAGCTGGACGAAGTTTCTGACGGCCTTGGGAGCCTCCTTCGGCCAGAGCTCGATGTCGAGAGGGCCGTGCGTCGTCGTCAGAACAACCTTGCCCTTCGTCGGAGGCTCCACCACGTATATCGCCGACATCACTGCGAATTTCGGTAGCGCCAAAAGTTCACTTTCTGCTGACTGCTGAGATTTAACGGATACCGGTGGGGAATTATAAATCCGACTGCAATTTCAGTGGTGAAATTATGATTTTTGGTGGGGAAAACGACGTCGTGTTACAAAATTTTGGGCCCTCTGGTGAAAATGCTATTGGGCTTGTATTTAGCCCAAATCCATGGTTTCAACTTTAGTTAGTCCTTTACTTTAAAATATTTTACAATGAGTCAAGAGTTTACTAGTGCATCGTTCAATCGTTCAAATTTTTTATGTGAATTTTTTATTGTAGCATAAAAAATTAGATATGTTTTTTTATGAGAATTTTTAATTATAATAAAATTAAAATTAAAAATTTAAATTGGTGAAATATATGAGGCCTAAATTGTTTAGAACTTAGAAAATTATGGTTTTTTTAGTTGAAATTTTGATATTCAAATGGACGAAAGGATTAGTTTAGAACAATTTATTAATTTAGAGCTTGTTCTAAATGTTCTAAAATTTAGAGAATAAAATGAGATTTGGCTTATAATTGGGTGAAAAATTGAGTTTATCCCTTCAACTTGCAAATAGGTTAGACCGTTGACGTGGTCAGAATGTCTAAATCAAACGAATGGATGAGAGGAGACACATTTCAAAGAGTTAGTTATTTCCGTTTTCCCCCTCTAAAGCATATGCTAACGTGGGGTTGAGTTCACTTTCAAAAAAAAAAAAAAAAAAGCCAAGCTTATTTCCTTTTTCTTCTCTTTTCCTTCTTCATCCTCCACCGGATTTCGGTGGCGGCCGTGGAGGCTTGTTGCTGGAGGAGGGCCGTACGTCGCTTCAAGGTGGTGCTACATTAACTTTCCAACAAAAAATTGAAAAGGAAAGGAGAGAAAAAACGACAAACAAGACAATATGGCTCCTCAACCCTACCCTGATGACAGCATTCCAGCCGTCAACTCCACCGCTGTGGCAATAGAGAAGGACAACAAGAACAGCAAAGCCGCCGTCCGATGGGCCGTTGAACACCTTGTCGGTGGCAATCCCTTCATTATCCTAATCCACGTTAGGCATAAAAACCATCGTAGGTACCCTCTCTCTTAATTCATCATTAGTAATATTAGACGTTAATGTTTAACATAAATACATAATCAAGTGCCCAAATGAACGCTAAGGTGTAGCTTTCTGTTGCGTTTTTCCATTGTTGTCGCTTGTCGTTTGATCTGATAATTTATTCATGGTTTGATATCGTTGGGGAGTTACGCAGAGAGCACCAGCCATGGCGACACGTACGACAGCGATGTACACAGCATTTTTGCTCCCTTCCGTGGATATTGTGCTCGCAAAGCGGTACAGATTTTGAACAATGTTAATAGACACTCGTGGTGCTCAACACCACACACAAATAAAAAATAGATCACACAACATGAGACGTTCTATGCTTAGCATATTTCACATAATTTTAAGCTTATACCTTTTTAAATAATGTAACTCCAAATCAATATGAAACAATAAAACTACATTTTTTTTTTGTCTTATAGATTCAAATGAAAGAGGTCCTCCTTGACGATTTCGACGTGTCCAAGGCAATTATGGATTACGTCAATAAGAACTGCATCACCAATGTCGTTGCTGGTGCATCAACAAAGAATTCTATCACAAGGTTTAATTACTTGATTCATTCATATTCCTCTCTAGCCAAACTCTTGTTTTTTTTTTTTTTTTTTAAAAACAAAACTTTTGTATTTATGACTAATTTCATGTCATTATTGGTTATTAGTTATTACAGGAAGTTTAAAAGCGTAGACGTGCCAACCAGCCTAGTCAAATCTGCACCAGATTTTTGCTCTGTGTACGTGATATCGAAAGGGAAGCTAATATCTGCCCGAAATGCTCAGAGGCTTGCACTTAATACTGCTGCCCCACCAAAACAACCATCTCCACACGGACTTCCACCTTATATCAATCCCACTGATCACGGTGAAGTTGACCACGCATCAAGGTAAAAATGCCTCAAAACAACATGTTAATGATCAGTTGATATTAAGAATCACAAATTCTGATATTAAGAATCACAAATTTTTTGATGGGTTTTTTTTTTTTTTTTTTTTTTTTGGTATTGTATGTTTTGTTGTTTGGTTTCAAAAGGCTACAGCTTACAAGGGGAGTGATTGTGAGAAACGGAGGGGGGTCGGAGAAAATGGTGCCGGGAAGGGAGAGGGCTAGGAGTGTTCCGTCACTTTCGCTGGATATTATTGACATTCCCAGTACGTCTAGGCCGTCTTTTTGCCGCGATTCGACCGCCGAAGAAAGCGACTTTGTGGCAGCATTTGGCACGTTCGGGTCGATCGACGTCACGGGCCAAAACTTGGATTTCGGTGCTTCAACTACTTCCCCAAGGAACTCTTCTACTAGACATTCTGCGGTGAGTACAAAAATTGTCATATAAGTAAAGGATATATTACTTTTTTATTTTTTTTATTTTGTTTAATGGTGATATATATATATATATATATATATATGTTGGTTTATTGCAGCGAGAGATTGACGCTGAGATGAAAAGACTAAAGCTTGAATTGAAGCAAACCATGGACATGTACAGCTCAGCTTGCAAAGAAGCAATCTCAGCCAAGAATAAGGTAAACTTCATACTTTAAAAAATAACACACACACACACATATATATATATATGTATATATGTATATATATGTACATATATACAAGGCCCTTAAATGAGATTTTCAAAATTGCCGCTATTTTGTAGGCTAAAGAGCTGAGCCAGTGGAAGCTGGAGGAGAGCAGGAAGTTTGAGGAAGCGAGGCTGGCCGAAGAGACGGCTCTTGCTGCTGCGGAGATGGAGAAGGCCAAGTGCAAAGCTGCCATTGAAGCGGCTGAGATGGCGCAAAGGATGGCGGAGAAGGAAGCGCAGCGACGGAAGCATGCGGAGATGAGGGCCAGGCGAGAGGCGGAAGAGAAGAATAGGGTACTTACCGCTTTGTCGAAGAACGAGTTCCGGTACAGAAAGTACACCATAGAGGAGATTGAAGCAGCCACGGAGAAGTTCTCAGAGGCGATGAAAATCGGCGAAGGTGGTTATGGACCGGTTTACAAAGGCAAACTTGATCACACCGCCGTTGCAATCAAGGTCTTGAGACCTGATGCCGCTCAAGGAAGGAAGCAATTCCAACAGGAGGTATTAATTATTTGATTTCTTGAACAACATTTTGTTTGAGCATGTGACATTTTCAGAATTTAGACCTCATTGTTATGACAATATTAATCAAAAACTTAATTGAAGTGTGACAAATCAATCAATCATGACAGACGTTTTTCTAGATTAAGTACTCTGTCTACTTAAAGTACAGTTATTTACATAACAAACACCAACATTCAAATAAAGGAACAAAATGTCCATTTAGAATGGAAATAATCCTTGTTTTTGTAGAGTAATTAAGCCTCTATTTGTTTTATAAGTTCAAATTATTGTTTAAATCTTTTTATTACAGTGTTTTCTCTCATAAAATTTAAATTTTAGTTAAAATTTTTATATTCAAACCTATGAAACAAACGAGTCTTAAATACTTACGAACATGAACAAACAGGTTGAAGTTCTAAGCTGCATTAGGCATCCCAACATGGTCCTCCTCCTCGGAGCCTGCCCCGAATACGGATGCTTGGTCTACGAGCACATGAACAACGGCAGCTTGGAAGACCGTCTGTTCCGAAGAGGCAACACGCTGCCGATACCATGGAGGAGGCGGTTCAAGATAGCCTCTGAGGTCGCAACGGCGCTTCTCTTCCTTCACCAAACGAAGCCTGAACCCCTCGTGCACCGAGACCTCAAGCCGGCCAACATTCTCTTGGACAGAAACTTCGTGACCAAAATCAGTGACGTTGGCCTTGCCAGGTTGGTCCCGCCATCTGTGGCGGACCAAGTGACACAATACCACATGACATCCGCTGCCGGGACATTCTGTTACATAGACCCTGAGTACCAACAAACAGGGAAGTTAACAACCAAGTCAGATATATACTCTTTTGGGATATTGCTTCTCCAAATTATAACAGCCAAGCCTCCGATGGGTCTTGCTCACCATGTCAAGAGGGCCATTGAAAGAGGCAGATTCGGAGAGATGTTAGACCCTGCTGTGCAAGACTGGCCCATTGAAGAGACTCTAACGTTTGCAAATTTGGCACTAAAGTGTGCTGAACTAAGGAAGAAAGACAGGCCTGAACTTGGTTCGGTTATAGTGCCTGAGCTTAAGCGGTTAAAGGACTTTGGAAAGAGTCATTCTGGAGGACAAGATGGCAGTAGTGGTCCTTCCACTTCACAAGGGAACTAAGATGGAAATTGGTCTGTGTGGTTGTCTGTTTTAGGCTGAAAATATATTGGATAGTTGAAGTTGAACATTTTATTTTATTTTTTGGTTTGGAATTAAAATAAGTATCTAAAGGATTGCTAGTTCATCGGCCTTTATTAGCAGTGACCTATTTGTTTTTTTTTTTTTTTAAAAAATTTGCTGTATTTTTGGCCCATGGAACTGTTGAGGAGATATTCTTGATTTTCTCCCTTCAGATGAGAAAGGAGGTTGGTATGGAATATGTTCAGTCGTGTTATACAACAAACCCAGAGAGAGAGACAGAGAGAGAATTGATTTTTGAAAAAAGTGCAATGAAAATGCTGCTACTTGGTGCTTAATGAGACAAGTTTATTCACATTATTGTATTTGAAAATTTCCATCTCTTTTTTAAGATTTCAGCATTCTACATGGTATTTTTTTCTCCTCCTCTATGTCCTAATTACTTTAAGCATCTTAAAATAATAACTATTCCTTTTAGCAATAGATCTTAAAATCCAAAAGCATACAGCCAAAAAAAAAAAAAGAAAAAGAAAGAAGAAAGGTAAATCTTATGTCGAGATTGGCTTAGTCCCACGTCTTGCAAACTCATCAAAAGTTTGGTTTGCAAGCAAATGGTTATGCAATGACTCAACGAGTTTTTTACAAATACACCTGAAAAAAGATCTGGTCGGCAGATAAGTGTAACAGGGACCAAATTGATATAATTGTTACAGTAGCCAAACTAAACCTTTGCAATATTACTCACTCTGCTGCTTTGTGGTTCTTAATGTCGGAAACTAGCATTTGTGGGGCCATTGTATCTCTTAGAAACCCCGCAGTTTGTTTCCTGTAATATAGTACAATTATAACTGCTTGACTATTTGGCATGGTCATTGCATAGGATATTTGCCATAACTCAAGATAAGAACTCCCAAGAACCTTGCATTGTAAGAGAGGAGACAGAAGCCCAACTTGCAAAGAAAAGTATAAATAAAGAAGCGGCATAAAGTGAGATCATAGATCCAAACAAAGGTAAATGGATTGAGTTTGCAGAAAGGTATTGAGGAAAAAAGAACGAACGAGATTGTCAAACAAGCTTTGCATAAGATTCCTTCTCTTTTGAAGATGAAAGAATACAAAAACAAAACAAAAAGCTCCAATATCCAAAGAGATCACGACAATATATAAATCACTTTGCGTTTTAACTGGTAACCTCAATCGCATATCCATGTTTTTGGGTCCCCAAATTGCTCTATTCCCATCTCAAATTTGCTTTTATTTACACATATGGTTGAAATTACGGTCCACATATGAATACCATATTCCAAAATTTATGATATATGTATAGTTTCTTCAGACACTTATCAATCAACGCCTAAAGTAAAGGAAAAAAGTGCAATCATTCGGCTGTATATGTTTCAGCCAAATAGTTTTTTTCACGATATGAACACAACAAAAAACCGCATTAGTCTAGAAAAATATCAAATAACAATATTTGCAATATTTTAAGGGAATTTTAAAAGAGGAAATACCGGTATTCTTTGTTTATCAGTCGTCGGATCTGTATTACTTTTTCAATCTAATTTGAGTTTTGACTAGATCTAATACCGGTCCTATTAGAGCGATTCTAACACAAGATTTAGATTTGAATCAGAAAAACTCAAATCAAGAACACAGAAGTTTTATCGAGGTTCGGATAAAAAACTATCCTACGTCCTCGCGAGCTCTTTCACATGATTTCGATCCACTAGATTGAAGAATGAGTACACCCTGAAGAACTCTTAATTACAGAACTCACAGACCCAATCTTAAAAATAATTATAAAGACGTTCTTAGTGTTTCTCAGAAAGAATACCCAGTGGGTAAATCCCAACATACCCAGATTCTCTCAATACCTAGAACACTGAAAATTCTCCTCAATCTCTCTTGAGAACAAATTGTTTATCTCACTACAATCTTTTACAATACGTTTGGTTAGAGGATTCAAACCATGTGATTCGAACCATTTTCAATTTACGTGAATTTTTTGTGAGAAAAAATATTGTAACGAACCACGAATCATGATTCGAATCAGAGAACGAATCCTTCTACCAAACATGAGAGTCTCTTTCTAGCTCTGTAATTTCTTGGAAGACGAAGAAGTGCTGACCTAGTATTCTTTTTCTTTTTTATTATGGATATATACTGTCCTTCAAAAGTCGGTGCACCGTGGATTAATCTTAGCCATATGTCTTTGTTGCAATTTGATGACTCAGCAAGTAAAACTTTGCGTTTCACTCTATGTGGTTGAGAACTTCAACAAAACTACTTGTCGTTTATGCCTTGAAGGTGTTGTTTCTTCTTCAATGTGATGTTTATATCTTGAATTACTTCAACAAACTCCACCTTAATTTCAGATATGAACATCTTGAGAAACTTTGAGGATCTTGTGAACTCATTGCTCGACCAAACTATTCCTACGTTTGGCCTACATTCAGCAATTCCAGACATTTTTGGAATTTGCTGAATGTCACTACCTTTGTTCCCATGTCAGATGGATTGTCTTCCGTACTGATCTTATCTAGCTCGATCACTCATTCTTCAACTTTCTCTCTGATGAAGTGATGTTTGACATCTATGTGTTTAGTCTTCTCATGGTAGACTGGGTTCTTGCAGAGATGTATCGCTGATTGGCTATCTGAATGAATCGTTGCAGGATGCTTTAAAACTTTAAGCTCCTTTAATAATCCCTGTAACCACATTGCTTCTTTAAATCCTTCTGTTCCTGCAATATATTCAGCCTCAGTACTTGACAGAGCCACCACTGATTGTAACTGAGACTTCCAACTTATGCAATTTCCAACAAGGGTCATCATATATGCTGATGTTGATCTTCTTTTATCCTTGTCACTTGCAAAATCAGAATCTACAAAACCATCTAAAGTAAGGTAGTTAGATCTGAAAACATAAATCAAACCATAATTCAACGTACTGTTGACATATTTAAGAAGCCATTTCATGGCTAACCAATGTTCTTGACCCGGGTTAGGCATGTATTTGCTTAACACACTAACTGCATAGGCCAAATCAGGCCTAGTGCAAATCATAGCATACATAAGTGAACCAACAGCACTTGAATATGGAATTTTTTGCATCTGTAACTTCTCTTCTTCTGTTGTTGGTGACTGATCAGCTGATAGTTTAAAATGGCCTGCAAGTGGTATTTTAACAGGTTTAGCTTGATCCATTGCAAACTTCTGAACGACCTTTTTCAAATAGGCCTCTTGAGACAAACATAGCTTCTTTTGTTTTCTGTCTCTTTTGATGTCTATCCCCAAAATTCTAATTGCGTTACCCAAGTCCTTCATGTCAAATTCAGAACTAAGCATTTTCTTGACTTGGGTTACAATGCTCAAATCATTACTTGTAATGAGTATGTCGTCAATGTATAGAAGCAAGTACATTGCCTTGTATGTTCCTGTGTCTTTGTGGTATAGGCATGAATCATAGTCACTTCTTTTAAAACCTACAACAGTCACATAATGGTCAAATTTCTTGTACCATTGTCTAGGTGACTGTTTGAGGCCATAGAGTGCCTTCTTAAGTAAGCATACCTTGTCCTTGCATCCTTTTTCTTCAAACCTCAGTGGTTGAACCATATAAATGGTTTCTTCAAGGTCTCCATGTAAAAATGATGTTTTTACGTCCATTTGTTTGAGTTCCTAATCAAATTGAGTCACCAAAGCCAAGATAGTCCTTATTATCTTATATTTCACTACAGGTGAGAAAACCTCTGTGTAGTCAATTCCCTCAACTTGTGTGAATCCTTTGGCCACCAACCTTGCCTTATACTTCTTGGGATCCCCTAGTTGCATTCCTTTTTTAATCTTAAAAATCCACTTGCAATCAATTGATTTTTGTTTCTTTGGTTTATTCCATTGCAGCCTTCCACTCCTTTGATTTTGGACAAGAATTAGCCTCTGCATACTTTAGTTCAGCACATTCAAGTTCCTCTGCAGTGTTTAAGGCAAAGGCTATCATATTTCCCCTTTCATATCGTTTAGGAGGTTTTATTATTCTCCTTTGCATGTCCCTTGTGAGTTGGTACTAATCTAGACTCTCTGTTGTATTTATAATGCGTTGCTGTACAATTTCTAGATTGCTTGAGGCTTCTTGAGTAATCTGCTCAGTTTGTTGAGGTGTATGATCAATGTCTGGAATATGAATTGGTTCCTGATCTTCTGTATTACTCTCCACCTCAAATTGAAGAGTTTGAATTATTGTCGAATCTGTACCTGCATTAGAAGTGAAATTAGCAATATCTTGTTCCTTATTAAGGTAAGGCATTTCAAGCTCATTAAATATCACATCTCGGCTAATTAAAATTTTAAAATGAGGACCATTTTTTGCACATAGTCTATACCTTTTGACCCCATCATGATAGCCTAGAAAAATGCATTTTACTGATATGGGGTATAATTTTCCTTCTCTTTGATGTGCATAAGCAGCAGATCCAACGATCCTAAGGTTGCTTAAGTTTGGTCATTTTCCTGTCCAACATTGTTCGGGTGTTTTTAATCCTATAAGTTTGCATGGGCACCTATTTATGAGATAGCAAGCAGTACTTGCAGTTTTACCCCAAAATTGTTTAGGTAAACCAGCCCCAAATAACATATACCTAACCCTTTCCATAATAGTTCTATTCATTCTCTCAGCTATCCCATTTTATTGTGGGGACTTTTTTACAGTTCTATCCTAAGAATGCCTTTCTCCTAGCAATATTTAGTGAAAACTTCATGACAAAACTCCATTCCATTATCAGTTCTAAGGGCCTTCAATTTCTTATCTATTTGGTTTTCAGTGAGGGTCTTCCATTGTTTAAACCTATTAAAACATTCATCCTTAGACTTTAGTAAATAGATCCAAACTTTTCTTGAGAAATCATCTGCTATGGAAAGAAAATACCTGGCTCCACCATGGGTTGGAGTCCTTTCTGGTCCCCACAAATCAGCATGAACATACTCTAAAGGCTCTTTGGCTCTGAAGTTGGATGCTGTGAACTTCAGTCTATGTTGCTTGCCAAAAATACATTGTTCGCAGAAATCCAAGTGAGTGACCTTATCATTTCCAAGTAGTCACTGCTTGCTGAGTTCTTGAAGACCCTTTTCACTAACATGCCCTAGCCTTCTATGCCATTTTGTAGCTTCCAAATTCTTTCGTACAACAGTGATTACTGAACTAGTCACTGTGTGGCCTTGTAACACATACATGCCACTTTGTTTTCTTCCCTTTAGAACAATCATTGAGCCTTTTGTGACCTTCAAATTTCTACTTTCAGCTTTATAAGTGTAGCCTACATCATCCAAAGCCCCTAAGGAGATTAAATTTCTCCTTAATTTCGGAATATGTCTCACATCCCTCAAAACATGGTGTGAACCACCATCTGTCTTGATGGTTATTGATCCTATGCTGATTACAACACAAGAATGATTATTGCCCATAAGAACCTTGCCACCATCACACTTTTCATAATCAAAGAACCATTCCTTCTTGGGACACATGTGGAAAGTGCATATAGAATCAAGAATTCATTCAACCTCATTCTGGTTAACTCCTACAGCAAGCATCTCTGAACTGTCATACCCAGAGTCTTGACTAGCTACGACAGCATTTGCTTCATTTGCCTTCTGTTTTAGCTTGTTTCCTTTTCCACTCTTTGCAAAAACGCTTGATGTGCCCAATCTTGTTACAATGGTAACACTTCCTCTGATCTTTATTTCTTGACTTGGATCTTGAGGGTGGTCTGAACTTTGGCTTGCTAAAGTCTCGTTTAGGAGGTCTTCCTCTAGAGAATAAGCCTTTCTCATTATGGGAGTCTCTCTTTGATGTTGATTCAAATTTCATCTCCAATTCTCTAGACCGAAGTGTTGAGAGGACATCTTCAAGAGACAAGCTTTCTCTGCCATATTTAATGGCATTTTTCACATCCTTAAAAGACTCGGGCAATGAAATCAGCAAGATAATAGCTTGATTTTCTTCCTTCTCTTTTCTTCCGATATTAGCTAGATCAATAACAATTTTATTGAAATCATCCAGATTCTTCTCTAAAGACTTAGACGTATCCATCTTGAAACTAAATATACTCTCTTTCAGATAAATCTTGTTTGTCAGATACTTGGCCATATAGAGCTGTTCAAGTTTCAACCATACCTTAGCCGTCGTATCTTCGTCGTTTACTTGTCGAAGAACATTGTCTGCAAGATACATAATGATTGTAGAGTAAGTAATCTCTTGTATCTCCTCTTTCTCGGCATCAGTGGCAGTAACATCCTTCATATCTCCTAGAACCTTGGCTACCTTTTGCTGTACTAAGATAGCCCTCAATTTCTTCCTCCATAGGCCAAAATCTCCCGTGCCATCGGATTTCTCCAATTCAAATTTTGCAGTCCCCATTCTTCCTGGCATTTGATTTGAATCTTGATTGCAATTCTTGAACTGGTCTTCTTTCTAAATCTTCCCTTGATCGTCGATCTCTAACCAAAGCTCTGATACTACTGTTATAGCGATTATAACACACGATTTAGATTTAAACCAGAAAAACTCAAATCAAGAACACATAAGTTTTATTGAGGTTCGGATAAAAAACTATCCTACGTCCTGGCGAGCTCCTTCACAAGAACTCGATCCACTAGATTGAAGAATGAGTACACCCTCAATTACATAACTCACAGACCCAATCTTAGAAACAATTACAAAGACAAACTTCAGTGTTTTCCAGAAAGAATACCCAGTGGGTAAATCCCAACATACCCAAATTCTCTCAATACCCAGAACACTGAAAATTCTCCTCAATCTCTCTTGAGAACAAATTGTTTCTCTCACTACAATGTGGACGTTTGGTTGATGGATTCAGAATCATTCTCGATTTATGTGTATTTTTTGTGAGAGATAATACTGTAGTGAACTACGAATCATGACATGAATCTAGCAACCAAACAACTCTCTCTCTAGCTCTATAATTTCTTGGAAGACGAAGAAGTGCCAACCTAGTCTTCTTTTTCTTTTTTATTCTGGATATATACTGTCCTTCAAAAGTCAGTGCACCGTGGATTAATCTTATCCATATGTCTTTGTTGCAATATGACGACTCAACAAGTAAAACTTTGCATTTTACTCTATGTAGTTGAGAACTTCAACAAAACTACTTGTCGTTCATACCTTGAGGGTGTTGTTTCTTCTTCAATGTGATGTTTATATCTGTAATTATTTCAACAGATCTGACAGTTGATAAATAACGAATAATGATGTTTTCAAAAAAGAATTAACACCAAAGAAAGTCTCATATTTTGATACTAATAATAGTAATTGGAAATTGGAATACTACTCTTGGTCTGTCGTATATTGCTACACTTTTTAGTGTCACGGGAGGGAGAAAAAAAAAGGTGGAAGTAAAATGTTCTCTTTACAGCAATACACTTATCCTCATCACAAGAGAGGCATCTAATTTGAACTTTTTGAAGAGCAATACACACGCATGTACAAAAGGCACCTATATATTTCACTAGTTCTGTCCGCATCATATACATTCACAGAGTAGATTATTTAACAAGTTTCTTTGATCAGGCCACAATAGGAGATAATTTGTGCTTTTTTGGCTTCCAAATTTCTTAAAACTTGTGCCACTCCAATAATTCCAAGATGGGTCTTTGCTACAAGGGCTTGGCATCCATGTTAAGAAAATTTATTACATGTGGTTTCTTGGGGCTGATCATGTCTGCCAGAGTGACATATCAGGAAGGGCCAGAAACCGGCTTGCTATGCATCAGTGACTGCACCACATGTCCAGTGATCTGTTCCCCGCCACCGCCGACATCGGAATCTCATGATCCACCGCCGTCTCCGCTTGCGCACCACGCGCCGCCACCCCAAACTTACTACACATTCTCTCCGCCACCAACCCCGCCTAATTCACCGCCATCAGCGTCGCCGCCACGGCCACCATTGGCGCCTAAGAAATCACCGCAGCAGTTGCCGCCGCCTCCTCCTTCATGGTACTACATATGGGGCTCTCCCCCGCCTCCTTATAAGAACAGCGGGCCCCCAGTGACGGTAGTGCCAACGGCGCCGGGCGGAGCCCATGAGTACCCCTATCCGTACTACTACTTTTACGCCTCCGAGGCTTCTTCTCTCTGTGTTCATGCTTGCAGTCTGTTCATGTTTTTCTTGTTTCAATTCGTCCTTTCTTGCTGGTGAGAAGATGTAGACCGTAGACGTGTATTAATTAACTTGTTCACGCTGTTCATATTTTTATGTGTGGAACCTTTTGTCTTGTTCCTGGGTTATTTTTAGTCTTATTTTGGATCTGTTTTGTTTCTTCTTTTCTCCTCAAAATTATCTGATAAATTAAACTTGGCGCCAGCTCATTGTAGATAAATCTGCGTGATTCTTTTGATATTTCTGCTTGCATCAAGATAAAAACAAAATAAACAGATGATGATGTCGTTTGTATGTCTTTGTAATTAGTAATTACTACGGGATTGGACAGATCAGAGTTGCTGTGATCCGTTCAAGCCAGAATTTTCGGTTCTTAACAAGTTTTGTATTATTGTTTAGGAAAAAATTGAGAGGCTTCTTGGCGAGTTAATTTTCATGTACCCGTATCAATAATTAAGAGTCAGTTTAGTTCGATAATTTGAGTTGAGATGTCAGTTTTTATAAGAACTTTTTACTGTAGTAAAAAAATTAAATGTGAATATTTTTTAGAGTTTTTAACTGTAACAAAACTCGAATCGGTCAAGTGAACAGGTACTATGACGTTTGATTGATGGATTCAGAATTATTTTTTATTTACGTGTATTTTGTATGAGAGAAAATACTATAACGAGTCACAACTCATGATTCAAACATCCTTGAACCAAACGCATTTGTTTTATATTTTTTTTAAGAATTCATGATTCAAACAAACGACATGAACTCTTATAAGTGCCAGTAAATCAATAGACAACAGGTTCCAACTTCCAACACAGCTTGTTTTGTTTTTGAAGTTTATTGTCGTTTATCTAAGAATTTCATTCTTATAGGTTACTCTTTTTAAAACAATATATATATATATA